ATGCTTATGTTATTACGTCATAGTAAGAACCGATTGTTCGATGACGTCATTTGCGCCGATTGACCTCGGGTCAACCGGTGTAACTCATTCATTAAAACTTCGCTACAATCTATTTTGAAAAATAGAGATTGGTGTATTTTATACTAATGGCATTAGTTACAACAGTGATACAGATATCATTACTTAGTCAAAACTGGTTTGATTTCTATTTTTAATGTTTTATAATAGTTATTTACTGTTGAACATTTTTATAGCATTGTTTTCCCAATACAAATGGCTTCATACACTAAGTTTGTGTCGGGTATTATATCTAAAGAGCAAACATATATTACGGAATTGTTGTTAATTCTTTGTTATGAAAACTGTAATTATTAGCACTTAATAAAAGTGGTGTTATATCAACGTTCTCATGTAAGCGAGTGTGGATGGGGGTTAACAGAATAGAGAATAATGGGCAAAATATATAAAGAATAGAGAATAATGGAAAAAAAAGCATAAAGAATAGAGAAAAATGGCCTAAAAAATTAAAGAATACAGAAATTAAGGACCCCCCTTATACATTACTGTCTGCGTGTAATCGCAGGTTAAGTATCTATGTTAGGATAAACTTTAAATAGGGGATTTTGTTTTTAACTGAGCTTGTATTTTATTATTTGATTATACGATGAACGATACCAATTCTACTGCACCGATGCGCATTTTGGACCATGTACTTCTCTTCGGTGAAGCTCGCCAACTAGATATGTGAAAATCAAACTTTGAAGAGCTGATAAGACTGAATGGACCAAGCAAGATATACAAAAAGATGTCAAGACAATGCAAGAGGGAGTTATATTCCCAAAATTATTATGTTTTTGAATTATTGTAGTAACAATGAGAGATGTGATACTGTAAGGGACTCCCAAATTATAGAAAGTCGAGAAATCGACACCCCCAAGACAAAGAATAAACAAAAATAACCAAAACAAAACAATACACCTAATTTCCATTATAAGAATAACCATTATTTTGTTGGCATGTCAGAACCTACATTATGTAGGTATTAACCAAATCATTTTGCCGAAAAAAAGAGAAAATAAAATGTTTGAAAGGTGTATTTAAAATTGTAAAATACTTACTGATCTTTAAGTATCCGGTGTATTCTATTGATTTTGGTTTGGTATGTAATTGTTAATAAAACTTTTGTTTTCGAATATTGTTATGAAAGTATAATGCATTTAATATTAAATAGATCATATGTAAAATAGTGTGTATCAAATACATATCTCTTAAATGTACCCAAAATAGTTCACACTTGACCTTACGCAAACATAAATTAATCATAAATTAATTCATTTGCAATGCATTTAAACATGTTAGTGTAAATGATGTAGAACAAAGGAAAATACTTTTATAAAATATTTTCTTTATTTAATCACGTCCTAAAAAGTAAAATCACAAAAATACTGAACTCCGAGGAAAATTCAAAAAGCAAAGTCCCTAATCAAATGGCAGTGTTATAAGCTCAAACACATCAAACGAATGGACAACAACTAGATTGTAATCGGTTTATCATTCCACTTTTATAGTACACATAGTCATTAACATTTTTCAGCAAAGTTCAAGACTAAGTAGACAAACACTTGATAACTTGTGTGAGTTGCAATTTCAATCGTGCTGTAAATTCATACTTTATATATTGCTATGAGAAACACTAATAAGGGGTTCCTAACTTAAACAACAAATTTCAAGTTACGGCTTCGTTTCATTCTGATGTTTGGCACAAATCAGGTATATCTGTAAAGATAAAAGCAAGTACGTGTAATTAAAACAGACAATTCTCATATATTACACAGAGAAATTGAATAATCCAAGAACAAAAATTGGCAACGTTTATTATTTTAATATTTTTTCGTGAAAAATCCCCATTATTTTCAATTAAAGTAATTGATAAACAAAATTTAATTGAGGCGACTGGAACATGTTGAATGAATAAAAATATCTATCTAAAGAATCGGATAATACGCAAACAAAGTATATTGACTGACTTCAAAATAATTTTGCAATATCAATTGAAAGTATGTTAACCTAAAAAAAGTATTGTTCAAATGTGCACATATATAACGATAGCAAACAAGAAAATAATCGAATGATGATCCCCTAAGACATCCAGACCGATAGATATACATATTTTGTAAAAATAAATTACAGCTTTTCTTGCAAATTAATTTACACATATATCATGTATATATGTTTCATAAAATGTCAAAACATTGAAGTTGACTACACTTGTTAGATGGATTCCTTTGAAAAGCATAAGTATAAGCTTAGCAATGATAATATACATTGATGTTAAATGCTATGGGTGTATAATGATTTCACATAAACATATTTATACGTATAATTTAATCACACTTAGTCTATTTGTTTTGTTCACAATAACAATAATGTACTTAATACTATTCCTATGTTCGAAATAAAAAATCAATTTTACTTTTAATGAAAAAAAATCAAACAATGATAAAGTTATATAATAGTGATGTAACTATGCAGTCTAAACTACTTCTATCTAGAAATATTACCTGTTTCGCAAAATATGCCAGTAAAACCAGCCTCACATTTACATGTATACCCGTGTATTTGTTGAGTACACGATGCCCCATTTGAACATGGATTGGATACACATCCTTCTGCATCTTCAAACATATATTTAGAATATAACGTACATGAAGAATCGAATTAATACGACACAGCACAGCAGACAAACTAACACACCAATACACAAACACTGGACTAACCCCCTCCAAAAAGAAATTTATTACAAACAGAGCATGACATAGACAGCTTACAAAATATGATGATATCATACAAATAATGAATTGGGTACTATACTCGGTAGCAAAAGGGAAATGTATGTTTAAGAATTCATTTTCTAACAGATTGATATTGAATTAATTGAAAAAAATAACAAATTTGATTGATTTAATGAAATTAAGCATATTATAAAGAATGAATAATTCGTTAATTCAATGAAATTTTATAAAGTCGAACATGTGCATAATGAGTTTGTGATTTTTTTTTTAAGTCCTGATCAATCACCGAATTAAATACAATGTGGCCATTAAACCATATTACTGGTTGTTCTGTTGCCTCATATCACACACTTTCATTTAATACATTCAATTCATAGACTAGTTGCAGTTTATCGTACTACGTATTACAAAATGAGTTCATTTTTCACATGTTGATGGTAAGATTTATTTGGGATGTTGATGCCTGATTAATCTTTTTTATTCTCACCTATTATTTTCAATGTTTTACATTTCTGGTCTGATGCTTGCCTGAAAAAAGAAAAGTGTATAAGAACTCAAATTCCCCTGCTCGAACTTTGCGATTTTCCAGTTAAAAGGTGCATACCTCTAGAACGGTAAAAGACGCACTTACCAAACTCTGTCTGGTAATGTCGTTTTAAGCATTGTGTATGAGTTTCTGAAAATTTGATTGAAGCAAAATTAAGTTACAGTGCAGAAACGAAAATGGGACAGACAGAAGAAAGGACGGATGGAAGACGGATGAAAGTGACGGACGGTCAAGGGGAACACGTAACGCCCCGTTGCCTACCGCAGGGGCGTTCCAAACAATTAGGAACAACAAGGTTTGTTAATACATCAGTCAGTGAATATAAATAAACATCAATCAAAAACTTTTAAAACAAAATAATCTAAAGAAAGACACGAATTTGAATATACAATATTCAAGTAAGAAGCATGGCTAAAGGTACTTTATAAAATTATTTTTCATAAATAGTTATCATTGTGTATTCACATGGTGCTTCTGAGCAGGGTATTGCTTTTAACTGTTGTTTTACATTTGAACAGGATGTCATCAGAATATCATAGTTGAGTATGGTGTCTTCAACATGATCAATGGTATCAAGCTTTTCTATAGATTCTTATATTCTTCTGTTCCAAAATAACATCTTATAGATAGAATAAATGACAAATTTATATTTTCATAAAGTTTTCAAAAATGGCAAACAAATACCAAGTTCGAGGCAAAGGTGAAATACCCAAAGGGTAGCCAATTACATGTAGTACACAACATATTTATTACAATTTTAACCTACTTTTACAGTTAACCTTGGTATTGGATGTTCATTATATTTAATTCATACAAGAAAGATGCTTGCCTGTCAACACCTATCGCTGTATAACAAAATATGTGGATTCCAATATCGTCATTCGTTGGAGTCCAAGTCACATTGAAATACCAGCGATCGTTTGAAGAACCATATCTTAACAGCTCGGACTTTATAAATCCAACTGGCGATACAATGTTTACCTCGACAATTCTGAATGATAAACATGCGTTAATGTAATGTTTAGCTAAGTTCGGGAGCGCATTGCATACATTACATCATTTTGTTGTAAATTTAAAATTTTAACAATATTTACTCAGATGAATCATCGCATGTGCATATACTTTACTGGAAATAAATATCTCGGATTTATAAACAAGCAAAGGTTTTTTACAAACCTGTCCCCAAACAGGTTGGATTTCTTTCAGGCTATACTAAAGAAATATTAAAACAAACAATAAACTTCCCACACAAAAAAAACCCATTCGAATGCTTTCAGTAAAACAAATACAATTAAATCATATTAAAACATCATAGTATTGCTACTCCAGAGGGTCATCCAAATACTTGTGAACGTTTCACAGGCTCCGAGGGAATTTCTCTTTAATGTCAAAGGGACTTTTTTTTCGAAATGTTTTCTTATTAAACAGATCATATGTTAAATGTTTAAATAATTTTAAAAGCTCATGTGTTGCTTTCCGTAAACCTCAGCCAGCTTTGATGTACATGATGTAATGGTTTTTTGAATATGTGGTGTTTCGTGTTCTTCAACTTCTTAATCGATTTATCCATTTACAATATCTGAGATCAGCCAATGTATGTCGGAGTCATGCTGTTCCTCCTTTGGTTTTCTACGCTGTGTATTTCGTGTTGTGCTGTTTGGTTTGTTTTTTTTTTTTGTTTTTTTTTTATGGCCATGACATTGTCAGCTTGAATATCTGTTCGTATCTTTCGCCACTATTTTGCCAGTTAGTGTATACTTTCCGTATTTAAGTATAGACATTGCAATTTCCCGTAGGAACCCTTTTTACGGCTAATACTTTGCCATTGTCACTGTGAAGTTTCGTTAAAAAAATATATCCTAGCAAGGCAAATTCATATGCACTATTATTTATTTTTTTCAGAGGTGAAAACATAGGGCTGTGCGGCATATTTTTAACATTATTAATATGCCTCGAACGGGAGTTCACACTTATACTTAAACTCTTTACTATCCCTCTCTTCATTTGGGTCTTCCTCAGAATTCAATTTAGCCCTTATCTATATGTATTTAGACTAGCAAAATTCACAAGTTATGTCTCTATGAGATGAAATATAGAGATCATATCTGAAGACCAGTATGTTAACAAAACAAAATATATATTGTAAATAATGAATAATATATACAGACTTGTGCCTAAAGTGAAGATAATTCCAAGATAGCTGCCACATACAGTTGTCAAGTATCTGTCACTTTTCAACCTTTGTAATAATATGAATAAAATGATCTGAACTCACTTAATACTTTGTGATGTTTCCTTTTGACCTTATCACTTGCCTCAAACGTCCTGGAATTGAATCATAAAGTTTTCTTATGAATTCTAAGGATATATTTGTCCATATGTTCCTAATTGCTGTCTCCATTTGAGCCTTTGTAGTGATGTTATGAGCCTGTTTTTTGCAGTTCAATTTTAATTTTACGCCACATATTCTCAATAATATTAAGGTCTGGACTTTGGGCTGGCCATTCCATACCATGAAGTTGGTTTTGTTCTAGGTATTCTTTCACAACTTTGGCTCTAAGAACCGGGGCATTGTCATCTTGGTATATGTAATTGTCACCGGGGAAATGACGAGCAATAACAGGCCAAACAAAATTGTCAACAATCTCAATATACTTTAACATAATATTACCAGTTACAACAGTAATAGTACCAACACCTTCATAGGTAATGAAACCCCAGATCATCAAACTCAGTCGTGACCCACGGCCAGGATTTAAGCAAGAAGGAGTCCACTCCTCACCGGGCCGTCTCCGGACTAAAACACGATTATCCATACCAATTTCCACCTTACATTTGTCACTATATATGACCCTTCTCCAATGATCTTCCACAGTTTTGTGCCTGTTTAATTTACACCATGCCAGCTTTTTTTTTACATTTGCAGCACGAATTCTGATGGATTTTTTAACAACACGCTTTTTAAACCCTTCTTCATACAATTTTCGCTGAACAGTACGCTTAGACACTGGTTCTTCCCTAGATTCATTAAAAACAGCAGTTATTTCATGCAGTGGACGTTTTCTATCCGACTTGACAGTGGTGCAAAATTTGCGAGTATCCCGCGGTGTTAGCAGATTTGGCCTTCCCGTTCTCTCCTTGTGTTCCAAACTTCCCCGACCTTTAAAACGATTTAAAACACCATAAATAGTTGGAAGCGGATGTCTTGTTTGTCGTGTAATATCAGGTCCTTTCATACCAGCCTTATGTAATACTGCAATTGCATTTTTCTCCGATAATGACAGTTCCTTACGTTTTGGGGCCATTCTCAAAACTATACGAAATGTAAACAAAGCAGACGATTCCAAACTTCCGGTGACGTGTCAGGTCAATGACCGACCTCATAACTTTCATATTGTGCAAAAAGAGAGATAATTCCAACTTATTTACAGAGAAAACGGCTCTTGAAGTTGTCACTTCCAACCCGCAATTGACATGACGTCGTTAAATTATCTTCACTTTTGGTACGGTAGTGTATATTCTCAAAAGAGGCGTGTTTGTGAAACAGCTGTATTTACAAAGTACAATCTATACTAGCGGTTGTTAAATAAAACAATCGTAAAAAAAAAATATTTTTCTCACAACAATATATACATTTTTCCAGAATCATAGCCTAAAATAAATCACTGTATATACCCTAGCATTGCTTATAAAGTGCCTTTTATACCCCACCCTGAAATCTTTACAATATTTGAAAACAAGACTTAAGTTACTTTCAGCTTACCCTATCTGAAATTTTTCTAACATGTAATGCCTAAAACCTGTATGAAACTTTTCTGATAACAAATTGTACGCATTTCAATACTATAAGTGTTAAGTTCAGTAGTTAATACTGGTTCTCTGTAACAATTTAAACTCTTATATAGGGAGTGTGGCACGCATGGTCATGGATTTTCTTCAAACTTCACACACTTACTAGTCTTGATGAAACAAACAAAAAATGGCAAAATTTTGGTTGCTAAGCATATCGGTTGCCATAGCAACCGATGACCAGTTTTACCTCTTCTGAATATCTATGATTTTAAGCTGGAAAAGGCTATTTTCAACATAATTTTTCATAATAAATAATTAAGAGAATGAATATTGTTTTATGATTTTATTAAATATATGCATTTTATTAATGTAATTTAATAACTGATATTTTCATATTCAATTTCAATCATGATCACATATACCCCCCTTTTTATGTGGTTTGCATTAGGTAAAAAATACCCTTTTGAGGTCATTTTTGAATGCTCATCATAATTGTTTGCGGACATCTGAGTTTAAGTCAACCATGAATTCATAAATATCATAGTCTTATCTTATCAATGATGCGAAAAAGTAATGGGGAAGTATGCCTCAATATTTTGTTACCATGGATACAAAATGCTTAGTTTTCATTTTTTCAGAAAATGTTTTTTTTTTGAAAAGTTTGAAAAAAAATGTTTTAAAACCTAATTCTGCAGTCAGAAAAAAATAAATATATATATAATATGTAGAAATTATTGTAATCATCAAAATTTTAAACATATTCATATATAACGGTATGATAGTTTTAACTGTGTTGCTATGGAATCAATTTCATTTTGATACACAAGTTTAAAACAATTTTGAAAAAAGTTTCAGTTAGTTTCTTAAATGTGCACAAAAGTAGGAAAACTAAAACACTTATTAAGTTTCACTGTATACACACATGTGTATATATAAATGATTTTGCTAGTATAGTATTTCGATAATGGTGTTACCACTTGAAGGAAACAAACACAATTTCTCTATTCTGGATAAAAGTGCTGATTGTAAAGAAATTTCAGTCTCTTTTTATGATCATGAAAAATATACAAGAAAAACAATTACTCAATCTAGAAAAAAACAAATAAAATCATTTAAAAATTTACATATTCAATTGTACAATATTTGCCATTGAAAGTGTTGCCATGGAAACAAGTAGTTCATTTGCAAAAATACGGATAAGTACTAATTTTTACAAATGCGTTTTAATGAACTTCGATACATATAACAATGAATGTATACAGTTTTGCTTACATAAGCAGGTTTTCTTGTATTTGAGAAATATTAATAATATTCCAGGCATTATTAGTGATAGTGTTGCCATAGAAACAACAAATTACATGTATATGCATAAACTTGGAAAACGCTTGAAAATAGACTAAATCTCTCATACAAAATCTCTCTTCTGTAAGTTTTCAATTTAATGAGTGAATATTAAAGATCAAAGTGCCACTTGGTGTTGACAGTTTGGAATTTTAGCTACTAGCTTCTAACTATTTATACATAATATTAAGAAGATACAATCAGAACATTGACAGTTCAAGAAAGGCCAAGCTTAAAATTGTTTGTGTGAGGCACAGAAATAAATACAAATGAAAATAATCAATATCGTTGGAGGGGGGGGGGGGGGGGGGGAGGGGAAGATTTTGTAAAAATAAAATGATCGATTAGTTATAATTTTCTTTGTGTCCAGTGTCAAATATCTCATGCATATTTCAGAAGAGAACAAAATCAATAAATTTAATAGGATCATTGTTGGTCCAGTGCTAGTCTACTAAGCCAAAATTAATTAAAGGCAATAATTTGACACACTTCAACACAATACAAAATAGAACAAAAAGAGTCGGACGTTGGTCCTCTAAGTAAATGATAATTGACCATCTAACCTTTCTTTCTATAAAGGAAAAAATACCTATATTATGAGCTGTTTATTTTTCTTATTCATTATTTAACTCAATGTTGAAATGACAAAGCATGTATAGCTATACGTTTTGAATATTATTGTATTATTGGATGATGAGTATCTACATGAAGATCATTTTTTAGGTGAAGTTGAAAAAAATACACAATTTCAAAAAGGTCCGGTAATATGGGTAGGCTGGGATGAAGGCGGACAATTTGAAATATCACTGGAAATCGGGATCAATTGGACAAGGACAGAAATTTCAAATTGGGTGCCCCTAAAAGAGTTAACACAAGGGTTCTTTAGCAAGCAAAGGGCGTAACCAACAAGGGCGGGTACTGTCGGCCGTTGACCCGATGGTCCATGCTATCCATCCGACACATTTTTTGTGTGCCATTCTGGCCGGGGAGGATCTGTCAGATGCCACGGTGGCTGCGGGTCTTAAAACGAGCAGTGGGGGAAATATACCATCTGGACAATTTTCATATAAGGGGTCGCACTGACTGCCTAAAGTGATGGACCGCTACATTTATGCTTCAGTGATTCCATATGTAATCAACCAAATATTTCCAATAAATAAGGAGGGGACGGGCCCTCAGGGCCCCTGGATCTGCCTATGGTAGCACTATCTTAACATTAGTATTAGGCATTGGATTATTGAAATTTGAGAAAATAACAATTATCTTTATGGCTTTTTAGCAGCAAATTAAAATATTGACCATAAATTATGATAACTCTTTACCGTGAAAGGGTAACTTTAAAAGAATTATATACATGTACATATAATTTGATTTTCACTGAACATGCTGAAAGCCCATTACAGAAAGATGTTTCTCAAAATTAGTATATTGTCTTTCTTTTAACAAAAAAAAAAATTAGATTTTACTTTGAAACAGGACTCAATGTTTATAACATATATACATGTGACTTTTTGTCCTTGACTTTTTGTCTGTGACTTTCTGTCTGTGACTTTCTGTCCTATATTCTGACCGTTATCATGACCAGGAAAAATTACTTTATACCTATTTATATGTAATAGGCTTTGCATCAAATTTATAGAAACACTTAGATTGAACCATTAATTGTATCAAATAAGAAAATATAAAATGCTTTTCAAACATATTAGCAAACGATAAATGTATTGACTTCGAGAACATTTGGCATACCTCAAGTTAAATCGTTGAATATGTTTACTTATATTTTATTAAAATATTTTAAACTACCAAGATATCGTGCATGCAGGGGCTCGGGCATACCTCAAGTAGTCCGCGAAATGTTTATTCTTTTATGAAAATATTTAAAACTACCAGGATATCCTACACAAGGCTCGGGCATGCCTTAAGTTGTGCGTGGAAATAATTATTTACTGTTATGAAAATATTTAAAAACAATTATATTGGATTTATCAACTTACATGTATTTTTGGCCTACTTCACACCTTTTGTGTGTTACTTTATATTTGTGATCAAACAGGTCAAATTATAACCGGTAATATACAACATAATTTACAACACAGTAAAATACAATATACTTCTCAATACCATAAACAGTTTAAATAACCTGGTGCCCGTCACAGTACCCTAAACTGTTTTTCCCAGTTTTTTTTATTATTTGATAAAGACTTTACCATTCAATCTTAATGTTTTTTTTATATAAATTTTAAGCAAATCCTATAAGATATAAATAAGTATTAGGTAGTTCAACGATCTGCACACCGTCAACGTTGTTCAGGTCAAGTTTTTTTTAACCTAAAAACATATATATTCCCCCTTTTTTTAATGATATAAAATAACACAGAAATTTTCATCGGTTAGGTCATTGCTGTTGTTGGTCAGGTCATTGTCAACGTTAGAAGGGTCACGTTTTCGGAATTTTTCGGAATTTTTTAATATTTTTTTCTATTTTTTCATATAGTTATATATTAAATGATCAAATTTTATTATATTTCAAATTTAACATAAATCCTTTAAGAAATAAAAAAGTAATGAGCATTTTCATTTGGTCCTGTCATTGTCAGCGTTGGTCAGGTCACGTTTTATGAAGATTTAAAAGTTTTCTATATTTTTTCTTATAGTTATGTATTAAATGGACTAAGTTTATAGCAATTCAAATTTGACAAAATTTTTAAGAAATAAAAAAAATATTAGCATTTTCGTTTTGGTCCAGTCATTAGTGTAGCCCGTCAAAGGGAGATAATTCGTATTGTGAGGAATATTGCACAATGACCATTTTTTAGAAATTAATTTCAGATGTTTCTAGGTAGATTCCCCATAACTTTTTTTGATTTTTTATAAAAACAAGGCTGAAATTAATTGTTTTTGTGCTTCTTTTTAATAGATGTAGCCGCATAATTTCACAACACTACACCAAATATTGTATTTTTCTCAAAATTCCCAACTTTCTCCGCTGTTACCATGGTAACCAATCAATATATATATCGGTTGGCATTATTTTTCTGACTAGGCTAATAGGATATACATATCGGCCAATTTTCAGAAAGATCGGTGACTATGTGTGCCGAAAAAGTTTAAGTGGTTACAGAGAATGAGTATTAATCATTCAAACAAAAAGTTTTTTATCAATGATATGATATCATCTCTTACCATATATCTAACATAATTTGGCTAATGTATGAACTTGAAGTGTTTATGTAAAATCATATTTGCAAAAGTTGTATTTATGAATTAACCAGTTTGATATATGAATTCACTAAAAGTTTTAAAGAACTGACTACTAAAATCTTATTATTGTATAGCGCTAATGCAAGTTTATTGTTTTCTAGATAAACTACCTTTTATAATAATAAAATCATAGCCTTTACAGATAAAATTATCTGTTTTATAATTCCAGGGGTTCGGGATTGTTCTCTGTTTTTTGCCACTGGGGCCGCAAATGAGCTAAATAAATCTGCTGTTGGTATGATTATAGAATAATTTATATACTCATTTTTAGAATAGAACACACTATTTTTAGTTCTATTGATGTATTTTTGCATTTCTAGCTTGTATGTTCAATGCCGCTCATTCATGTGTCACTGCTATGTTATTGGTTTTCGACAGGACAAAAACACCCAAAGAATTATATTCATCAGGGATCAATGAGTTTCAATGACTGCAAAGCTGGTGTACAGTGTCGTTCATTTGATGATAAGTAGATATCTCTAGTCCACTTTTTAAACAATATCGGCAAGACATGTAGCTCATAACTCTTCCAGCTAAAAGTATTAGAATGTTTTTAATTTAAAATATATGACAGACGAAATTAATACATTTGCTGTAAATATATCCAAAATACAACGCAACTGCAGCATGAACTCATCAAAACAATTCTAGCGAATATAAGTGTCACATGAAACAATACATCATATATGCATAAACCTAATTGGTTAAGAGTTTTCTATGCTTAACTAAATGTGTTTGTTTGTGTCAAAAGCACTCCATTTTTTTAAATTATGTACTTAAACCCATGTATTCTACTTCTTGCAGAGTCAATTACAATGTTGAAGCCCTTATTACTTACTGTGAACCTGTTGATCTTGCAATAATAGTTAGATGATACATCGTATTTGAAGGAATCTCTATCAGTGGTGTTTCTATTCTTGGTTTTTTATCACACATACTAGTACCATCAATAACATTTATAGTGAATTGCAACGGTATACTGCTTAGTGCGATTTTATCTTGTTGTTTACCAAAGTCCTCAATTTGAAGAGCAACAGCATAACGACCAGTCAAAGGTATTGCGTTAATATATAGAATACAATTTGACTGCAAAAAAATATATGCAATACCTAGTATACGAAATTTTGTTAAAACTGTGTACTGTGGATTCATTAATATTCGTTTTATGCCAATTTTCGTGGATTTCATGGATACAGGGGAACCACAAATTTAAATATTCAACGAATTGCAAATTTTCTAAAGGAATAACTATATAAGTTTTTCTCAAACCACGAAAATTGGTACCCACCAAAATAAATGAATTCACGGTATTTGTCAAGTTATAATGTTACGGTCTGTTACACTTTTGCATTATAATAATTGAATTTCTTGGATTACTTCATCTTCGAAAGATGCATATTATATTCCATATGTATAACTTTCACTTTCGTACTTTATTTGGACTTTTTAATTTTTTTGATTCGAGCGTCACTGATGATTTTTTTTGTATACGAAACAAGCGTCTGGCTTAAAACAATTGTATTGTTGTATCTATGATGAGTGTATTGTTTGTTGAATTATTTTGTAATGTTTAAAAAAGAGGCGGACCATCCAATGTGACCTTTTAAAACTCATAATGTGACAGGAACTTATCCTTACTGGTACACCATGTGAAACAAATTTACAAAATACTACACAGAAAACATAACACTGACCCTCGAGGAGCCCACAGTAACACTTTAAATTGGATATGGGTTAAATTGTCTAAATACGTGTTCACTGAAAGTATATCTTGTTTTAACAGTAATGCATGTTGACTTTATTTGGTACAGTTTTCTGGAACAATTAGGTAGTATACTATGTTGAAATGTTAACATCCAATAATAAAACACTACCTGATCCAAAACGGAGTTTCTCAATATGTAGCATACGCCTCCACATTCATCTGTTATAGAATTGTTAGCCCACCGACATCTGACAACATCGCTATCTTCGTCTTGAACTGAAATCAGAATTCTCAAATTTTTATACAAAAACAAAACGGATAATTAACTAATTCATTGTGATGGCTCGAATTCGAACACCACAAAAACAGAGGTTAAAAGATTAGCAATTACCTTAATTTATACCCTTACCCTAACCCTAACTCTAACCCTTACCCTTACCCTAAATTAATACAACGAAAGAGTATATGTCTCTACTTAATCGTCAATAACCTTGTTTTTATACCTATAGTATATCAACTGGAGATATATAAAAAAAAAAAAAGAAGATGTGGTATGATTGCCAATAAGACAACTCTCCACAAGAGACCAAATGACACAATAATTAACAACTATAGGTCATTGTATGGCTTTCAACAATGAGCAAAGCCAATACCGCATAGTCAGCTATAAAAGGCCCCGAAAACAATGGAAAAGACAATGTAAAACAATTCAAACAAGAAAACTAACGGCCTAATTTATGTACAAAAAATGAACGAAAAACAAATTGTATGTAACACATAAACAAACGACAACCACTGAATTACAAGCTCCTGACTTAGGACAGGCACATACATACAGAATGTGGCGGGGTTAAACAAATCAGCGGGATCCCAATCCCCCCTAACCTGGGACAGTGGTGTAACAGTACAACATAAGAACGAACTATAAAAATCAGTTGAAAAAGGCTTAACTCATCAGATGGATACAAATACAAATACTACACACAGTGGACGTGGCCAGGTACTTGTATATCCCAACAACAAAAAGACACTAAGTACAGATCTGAGAGTACTCGCAGTTACTGACTGGAGATATGCTTGTTTACTCATCTGCGCTTGTTAAAATTTCATCTATAGTAATTAAACAAAACATTCAATATGTGGTAGTGAAAGGTGCAATTAGGTACTTTGTAAATAATCAAAATAAGCTATATTTTTACAGGAAATGAGTAGCACGGAATGTGTCATTCTATATGTGCAATTTTGTTGTGGGAGAAAGTCGATTGCAAACTATGTATTTGCGAGTTTTAAAAAAAGATCACAGAAATTTTCAAAATCAAAGAGATTCAAGTAGAACCTCTTTGTCAAAATATAAATACTTTAATTATTAATTGTGTTATGTAATATTTTCCTTTTACATTCCCTCAATCGTGACATTCGGGACGTATGACTTTCGTCCTTTCAACACGAGCATGAGACAAACTAGTACACATACTTAAACCGAAATGTATACGAAAATAGAAAACAAAATTATAACATGACTTAGAATTAATAAGAGGTCTATTAATAACGATAGTCTTCGGTTTAAGTTAGTCGCAATTAGATTTTCGTTTCAGAATCCACTACTCTCAAGATTAACCCTTTACTGGTAAAGCGATTGAATGTTATAAGTTTTTGCAATAAATAATGGGATTTACCATGTTTACGGTCCACATCTATGTTTAGAAGTTTGACAAAGTGTTAAATATAATTTAAAATGTAGTAGGTATGTTGCAGATTGAGTCTGCAATCTTGCAAATTTTATATTCAGTCATGGCCGTCAGACATTTTGTATAACCACAATTAAGGCAGTTATCCGTTATTATTCCAACCATGGTACCGTAATGAATCAAGTGTACTTTAATGTTTGAGGTATACATGTATATATGTTAGTTTCTAATGGCAATACCAGTTTGGCTATATCCGTTATTGTTTTGTCGTTTGTAATAAACATCATTATAATTTATATGGTTTTCTTCTCACACCGCGGGTAAATTATCACGTTGTGATTGGTTTAACGTCGTCACGTGGTAACCCCTATGGATCCGTTGAGGATTAGTAATGGTAACGTAATCTATTACTGTTGTTATCTTTCATTGTTTATTCGTCAACAAAACGCAGCAGGGAAAGTCCAGCGTGCGATACATTTGTTATACGGTTCACTACTGACCCCCTACGGATCATAGAGGGTGAATAAAATCCATAGGATGCGGATTAAAAAATAATTGTCATTGTTTTTTTATTCTCAATATATCATTTCGGATTTTTATGGTAATGGATAATAATAATAATTTGACAAGTGGTTTAACGGCTTTGGCAGTCACATTCGACTGTATTCAATATAGAGTTCGTTCAATATTGACGTTATGATTATCTGAATCACGTGTGACCAAAAGAAAAAAACAATCACTGGTAAAATGTTATTTACAAACTCACAAATACGTAAAAAAAATGCTACATTCAATTAGAAAATAACAAAAACAACCTCTGTATACGTAACACGTGAATGTGTCATTGTACTAATGGATGTCTATTTTACATTTTATAACTAAGGTGTTATAGCATTGTATAGTCACAAATGTATAATGGTTCGGTTCAACATATCAGAAAACAAAATTGAGCTTAAAATAATTTCCAAACCTTACATCTGGAATAAAAGTTCTTGTGCTTTCAAAATATTTTTATTTTTTATTCGGTTTTTCTTTTCTTTTTTTATGGATGTTATAGATTTCTTTTTATATTGATTCATAATCATAGCGCGTCATCATAATGCATTATTTTGAACTTTATATTGTATTGTCGTGATGTTTGAATAAGAAGTGGTGACTGTTGAACGTTGTATGTCATTGGTTAACAGAACCACTCCAAATAAAAAAAAGGAATCAATAAGATAACAATATATCAATATAATATATATTGGATATTGATAAAAATGAATGATGGTTTTGTCAAATAAACTGCTGCCTTATTAGTATGCACATGTATTGACAATAGTTGTCAATGAAGCGCTTAAAGAGTATATATCATTAGTAAATATATGGCACTCATACCATATCTGCTTATATCTATATATCAGCAATCATATTCGAGTGGTATAATGCTTGGACCGAAGGCTATATTAATTATAAGAAGTAGCCATTTTGGTAACCTTTGCAGACTTAGTATGCAGACTTCTGTATGTAGTAATCTTCATCAAATATGAAGTTGTGATCAAATACCATCGTTAACATTTGAACCGGTCATTTAGTAAACTGAGTTAAAAAGTGAACTGGAAACTTCGTACCATTCAAAAATGTGCTTTCACCTGATATGTTTTAACATTAATAGTCAACAACAATTTACCAAACGATCTAAAGATATAGTACTAGCTTACCTGGAATTCTCAAGGCATATGGCATTGCACAGTTTTTATTTACTGTAACAAATGGTTGCATTGCAGCTATTGGTGAGGAGTTGATTCGTCCAATATCTTGTCGAATGTTTAAATTTGCTGTTGCTATTAAAGACCAACTGCCTCCACCGTCAACAAGAGTAGCCCAAGAACCGCTTCTGTATCTTTGGAATTATAGTCATTTATTATATTCAAAACATATCTGATAAATAAAGGCAACAGTTGTATACCGCTGTTCGAAAGTCATAAATCGATTGAGAGAAAACAAATCCGGGTTACAAACTAAACCGAGGGGAATACATCAACTATAAGAGGAAAACAACAGAAACACTAAAGTGCAACAAAAACCAAACGACAATTTAACACACACAGAAACGAACTATAAGATAACAACTGCCATTTTCCTGACTTGGTACAGGACATCTTAAGAAAAAAATGGTGGGTTGAACCTGGTTTTGTGGTTAGCCAAACCTCGCACTTTTATGACAATGTTAATTATAACACTGAAAGGACAACATTACATGATAGGACTACAGTACAAATAAATGCAAGAACATTCAGGACAGCTAAATACATAAATAAACAATACAATAATACATTTCGACATGCTAATAGTTATCAAAGGTGCCAGGCTTACAATTCAATACGCCAGACGCGCACCTCATCCACACAAGACCCATCAGTGACGCTCAGATCAAAACAGTCAGAAAGCCAAACAAGTAAAAAGTTAAAGAGCATTGATGACTCAAAATTCCAAACAGTTGTGCAAAATACGGCTAAGGTTATCTATGCCTGGGATACGAAAATCCTTAGTATTTAGAATAATTCATACTTTTGCAAACATTAAATTTATAAAATAAAAATACCATATAATTGATAATCATGTCAAAACCGAAGTGCTGGCAAAACACAGAATAAAAAACGTATACGTAAAACAACCTAGGGCAGCACATAAAAACAGCACAACAGTACCACGCATTGTCTATCACACGACTTGATCGACGCAATAAAAGTGACGTCACAGGTAAATTTCTAAAAAATTGATATACAAAATGTAGTTCAAGATTAGGTTTGACATTATCGTATTTAATGTATTTTATAACAATTACAAGATTATTAATATAGCATTGTGTTAGTAATTAGATACTTAATTGTATTATCTAACTATGTCGGTTTTTCCTCTGAATCAAACTGTAAAACAAATAAATCGAATACGTTTAGTTCCTTTAAACAAAAATCTTACAAATGATCTGGGAGATTAATTATCTATACTCTTACATCCGAATAGAAAATGAATAAAAATAGAATTACAACTACAAACAATAAGACATTTAACAATATCCGATCAGATTTATAAATACAACATCATAACCAAACACATGAATGTTGGTTAACAAATACCTTGACACGTCTTATAGCAATGCGAATTCACACTCAGCAAAACAGTCATATTCGGGAAAAGGTCATGTTCAGTACTTAAAAGACCAGACGACGTAAATGGTAAACCATAATCTAAGACGTGGTAAAAATGTCCTTAGTAAGTTTAGACAAAGACACATCGTATGGATCGAACAATTCGTGATGGTGTCCATACCATTTACGGAGTGTCATTTTTAATCGTTCCTCCTCATAACTTTGTTGGAGCAGTTTCTGCGCCAGGAGTACACTCCTGTATATGAAGTCCGTATAGTGTGAACATGCTCGAGCATAACTTATCATCTGAGATATGTAAACACCATACGATAGGGCAGAGGGCATTTTACTGCTGAGAAATGAAAATTGATAATTTGGAAGTTGAAATCGTCCCGTTTGTCATATATTTTAGTGTGAAGTCGTCCATCTGTGTCAATATTGAGAAAAAGATCAAGGTACATGTATGAAGCAGTCCTTCTAGTATCAGTAGTATCCTTAATTTCAAGTTCACTGGGATATATGAGATGCAAGTATTGGCTGAAATATGAGTTATTCAGTGACAGGACATCACGAATGAAAAGGCCATGAAAAAGAACCTGCTTCTACGTACGGTAGTACTCACCAATGGCGTTCAAATTAAAATACGTAAAAGGTCAAATCATATAAGAAGTTTCAGAGCTTTGCAAACCAAAATAAAATCAAATTGTTATGTGAAATAAGACAAACTCCAATAGCAAAACATCAGAATTGCCTTGACAAACTTTAATGGGTCCGCATAAAGGAATAACGATACTAAAATTACAATATGCGTGTTCTGCCATGACCGAATGCCTTGTTTCGCTCTAAAATATCTATCTTATTCGAAAAACAGTGTCATTGCAATTGACATTACACAAACTCATAATACCGTGTGGATAAATATTCACACAGTTTTTAGATTTGTGTTGCAGCATTAAAATCATTTCAACGACATGATTAACCATAAGTAGGTGTACTGGAGATTTTATTTGATAAGGGACTTTCCGTTTTGAAAAATATTAGGTTATATTATCTTTTTCCCCGAACGAGTATACTAGTGTTAGAAATAAACAAGGAACGTAATACAGAATACAAAAAATGTCAAAAAGTTCGAACACGTAAATAATATTTACCCAAATACGTATATGTTATCTGATGTAGATGGAAACGTAACATTCAATGTCCTTTGGCCATATGTCCAGTTGTCATCCTCACTGAACTCTGTGCAATAGTAAGACAAAGAAGTTACCAAAGTTCTTGTCAAAGTGTCATTGCATCCTCTATAGCACATTAACGATCCTTCACCGTTTACCAAAATTCTATTCAATATGTACATTTTGTCACAGTGATGATTATTGAATGACACTTTGTACGTTATGTATACCTGTTAAAAAACGTATATGAAATTCAATAAGACTGAGATCAGCTTTTTGTATTCATACATACTAGAATTATCATGTTAAATAACCAATAACATGTGAAAAAATAGGAAGACGCTTTTAACGTGTTTGAGACACTATACTAATTTTAAACTCTTAACATTAAGATTAGTGAATTAAAACTTGCATTAAAATCATAACAAACACAAATAGGTTTAATTGTTAGTTTTGACATCGACAACAATCCCATATTTTTACCTTGAACAGTGAATTAACAAAATGTACCTTCAACATGCTCAATATCAAACATCAATAAAATGTACCTGAAAAGCACTTATCTCTACAAAAACAATATTGTAAATACGAACAAAACATATATAACAGTGCCAATTTAATTAATAGAAGTTTAAATTTAAAAAAGTTTTAACTCAGCAACTAAAAAGGGGAAATGGGGATAACAAAACAAACAAAAAAAGAACTCCGAGGGAAATTCAAAACTGAAAGTCCTTTATAAAATTGGAAAATCAAAAGTCTTACTCCTTACTTACTAAAAATTTGAAAACGCAAGATATTTTGGCAGTCATCAACCAAACCAACAACAACCGGGAAATCATTTTATGAGCAGCCAACTCTGCTGTAAACCTAGACAGTGTCTATCAGTTCTTGAATAAGACAATCAGAGATTTCAATCGCATAGGGACATATTGCATCAGTTTAAAACTAAACTAAAACAAAAAAAAAAGCAAAAAAGCAAACAAAAATATCAATAAAAAATTATAAGAAAGACAAAAAATTATTAATATGGTCCACGAATATTCTCAATTTCTGAAAGTCAGTGCTGCATAAATACACAATGTTTTCAAACCTAAAAAGTATTTTCAACATCATTGAACTTTTTATTAAGTTTCAGATTAACAGACACCATTGAAGTTTTGAAAACAAAATTAATGTGTGCAACCATTTTCGTTTTTTTACAAATTAAAAATAATTTGTTTGATTTCTCATCTATGTCCAGTAAGTTGCTAATACCAGGAAACAGCGCAAGGTTGTATTCTGCGAAGAAGTATAATTTATTTAATACATTTTTACATATCAATTGTAGTCTTACGTTACTACTATATTTAGTACATTTGTAATAATGAAATATATTTAGTGGGTCATGTAAATTTGCTTCCTGTCAATTTTATATTGAAAGTTTTAATGTGACTGTTTTATTCTGAAATTTGTAAATTGATCTTCTATAGTTCGTCGTATGAATCTGTCTCATATGCTTCATTTTTAAATGATAGATACCATTGTTTGCTTCGACCAACAAACTTAAAACGTTAGTTTCTATAAAAAATATATATCCATGTGCTACTTCTACAGATAAATTAGATCAACATTTTAGAAATTTACTCAAAGTTTTGTGTTTTTTTAAACTTTTATCCTTTGGTAAGACAAATCTAACTTTTTTGTTTGAAAAGATAAATAAAAACGGATTTTTGTAGAAATATTTGGAACATCTTCTAGATATAGGTATGCTTTATTTATGTAACAATTCTTTGGAAATAATTATTTTGTATTAAAGTTTCCTGATTTTAGAAAAAGAGACGGCATATTTCCTAAATAGCAAAAAAGTTCGGTGATTTGTTCATAAGAATTGGTACAAATATTTTTCATACAAAATCAAGCCAAGTATCATTTTTACCGAGAAGAGTCCATGAACTAGCATTCAATCAGTCGAAAATGCATCTTTTCCCAACAATTCGATGTTTGCAATTGACGTCATGAAAAGCACGATTTCACGCTGGTTATGTCGAAACTTCCCCTATAACTGTATCTCACACTTTCGTGGTTCGTTGTCATAATGAGTGAAATATGTAATAGATGTAGCTCTATATTTAGTATCGTCGTTATAAAATAATATTGTCTCATAAACTTATGACTAGAATGCAGTCTTCATACACCAAATAGAATTCACAGGAAAATTAAAAAAAAAAATAACGCGATGCAGTAAATAATAAAATATAATTTGTGGGCTCATATTTTGTTATGGTTTGAAAATGTTATTTTGAAATTTACAAAATGTATGTATTACCTGATTGTCTCTGTACTTCCATGTTACCATTCCTCCTTGAAAATGAGATCCATGGACATAAATGATTTGTAATACCATAAAAATAATCAGCACGAACAGTCTCATGATTGGTGTTTTCATTATCCTTCCAATCCAGTAGGTTATCGCATTGAAATGCTAATATGTGTGCAAACGTTTAAACAGGTACATCATATTACAATATGTTCTGCAAGACTAGATTCATTTGAAAGTGATTAATGGAATCATCTTATTTAACGAAAAAACTTCCGTAATTTTGTACGATTATTACATAATACTATTTTGTCGAGTCACAGTGTCAAATTATACAAGTGACGGGCGTTTTGTATCAATCAACCAACAAAAGCATTGTTTGTTAACAAAAGACATAGATATATCTATGTCGAATTCTATTCGATATTTTGCTACGTACGTGAAGGAAACAAAACTTCTTTGTTAGTAAACTTTTTATTCTGATTACAATCAACGAAATTTTATATTTAGATAGGCTCCATATGCTTGTTTTAAAGTTTTTTAACCACTGGCTTCGTTGTTTCAGAAAAAAAAGATTTTGATATAGCTTAGCCTACTCTTTTGCCAAAAGACGGACAAAAAATATGTTGTAAAGGACAAATTCTGTATGATCTAAAATACATTTTCATATTGATAATAGTCCAGTACCAGTTACAATACCGCTCTGTGTGAGTTATAATACAGAATTTACAGTTTATCTCCAATATTTGGAACTCCGTTTGGAAAGATTCTTGTGAAAAAAACTCTTCTTGCTTTCTCAAAATCTGAACTTACCAAGACTTTGTATATTTTAAAATCAACTATTCTATTATTTACAAAGGATACAATTTCAAACAGAAACAAAATATAAGCTCCGAGTTATTTGCTATATTTATTATCCACATTACTTGGTACTGGGGAGTGTGTGTTTCATTTGTAACTGTTGATTAGGTTTTTTCGATACTTTTTTTTAAAGTATTTTATCTTTTTTGGATTTGCTAGCAGCACATATAAAAATAGCACAATTTGTTTTATTCTATTTAAGATGATTAAGATTATAGCCCAATGTTGACTGTTGTATCCCTATTTTTGACATGTTTACCTATTTTCATGGTTATGTCTGTTTGTTTTGTTCACACATCCGTTGTCAATATAATATAATTTTGTGGGGCTGTCGTGCCGGTGAGATGTTTGGCTAGCTATGACACCAGCTTTAATTCACATAAGAAAATACATGTACCAAGTAATGAATATGACAATTGTTATCCATTCGTTTGATGTGTTTGAGGTTTTGATTAAGCCATTTGGTTTGAGAATTTCCGTATTGAATTTTCTTCGCTGTTCGGTATTTTTGTTATTTCTATTTTTACTTATATGACCGATCAACCCCAAACCACTACGAACAAGTTATTTAAATCCTTAGTTTATTTGCCATAATTTCGGAATCGTTGATAAAATCAGTATTACAGTGATGATGTTTATTTATAAAGTTCTCTTTCACAATATAAGCCGTGTGTAACTGAGTGCACTAGCAATGCAAGACAATATTTATTTTGCTTTTTTTAAATCAGTTTAAACTGATAGGTGTATTTTATAGGAATAACAAGTCGGGTGTCTCTTGTGAAGCAGGATTTTATTACACTTCTGAGATCATTCTCGTTGTTTTTGTAGAGAGTGTGCTGCTCAGTTCAGTCTATAGTTTTCAATGTTGTGTTTTATGAACTACTGTGGATTCATTATTATTCGTTTGATACCAATTTTCGTGGGTTTTGTGGGTACAGTTGAACCACAAATTCAAATGTTGAACGAATTACAAATTTTGTATTGAATATGTATTCAGAGATTGGCAAAACCACGAAATCAAATATCCCCGAAAATGCAATTTTTTTTCTCAATCCACGAAAATTGATACCCACGAAAATAAATGAATCCACAGTATTCTTTGTCATTTTGCCGTTTTTTGTTTTTGTTATGCTATTGTCTTCTTTTTTCAGCTGATGAGTTTCAACTCTATTCCTTTGATATGTTTTACCTCTCTTTTACTCCATGTGTAAACACACAACTGATATAGAAACTAGGAATATACCTTCACACGATCAGTTTCTTTATACTTAGTTATGGTGTTAATAGCTAACTCGATTCAGTTGAAAAAATATCCCTTTGGTATCTTTGGCCTCTTTTTCGCCAGACAGGAAATTTGTCCCTAACATAATGAAGCTTTGAATTTGAAACAGAACAAAAATCGTACTGGTAAACAAACAGATTACGATTTGACTACGTGTGGGGTTTTTTATTATTGTCTTGTACTAAATTGTAATAGAGATATACAAACTTTACGAGTTCGTATAAATCTTTAGTAATAAATTTCAATTATTTTTTTGGCTTCAAAATACTTTTTTTTAGAGCTATTATAAATAATGAAGAGAATAATTGAAAGGGCGCTGTTTTATCATGTTAATCATGCATCAGTAAAATAATTCAATGTTAAATGTTTATACATTTGAATACTAGTACTAATTATTAACATTTCATCCACCAGAAGTTGTTGTTATTTTCGTACAATGCATAACATAGTTTTATTTTCTAGACAATAGTCATGATGAACTTTGTCTAAACAGTTGTTAACACAAAATATATGACCACCACGTAATGTTTATTGATATACGGTCAACTTATGAAAATTTTTGATAATGCATATTAGCTTAGCATGAATTGTCAAATTTCTCTTATACAAGCATGAATATTCAAACATAAAAAAGATGCATGTCAATTTTTCATAAACAAAGTCATTTCTCTATTATAACTTGAATAAATATCAAACTATATAGATTAATAATATAATATTTTGGTTAAACGATAACTGGGAGTCACTTTCTTTACATTCAATTTGTATGAAGATAATCAATATAATATAATATTAGAATATTAAATTTATCCCCAAAAAAATATTTAAAAGGTAGCATATTCATTGTATTGTCAAGAATTTGTATAGTAGGAATGCTCGCTATCAAAAATCCTACTTATTGTGAGTGATTTATTTATTTTTATTTTCAAATATTTGTACTAAGATTTCATTAATTATAATTGTATGAAAATACCAAAAGTACGATTACATTGCTAAATGACCCCACTTTGTGTATTGAAATCTTAACTTTTACATTAACCGTAATATTTTGAATTAAACTAAATGTGCAAATAAGAAGTACAATAACAGGGCCTAGTTTAACATGTGCTAACAGTAACTATAGGTAGAAAAGGGTATACTTTTTTTAACAGTGACCATATGATACTTTAACAAATTAAATCTATTATTCAAAGTATTGATTGAATTTTAATTTTATGACCAAATGCATGAATGTGAAATACCTTCTGCATTTATTATAATATCATTTCCCCCTAATTGAACAACTGCATGAATCCAAGTTAACCTTTTTTACAGAGGTCCTTTAGATGAAATGTATAGCCGTAAGCCTGTAGCATGTCAGGTCTATTAGTAGTGCAGCAAACAACACAACATTAGTTCCTTTTGAAGTATTCTAATATATCATTGTGAATAAATTTAATATATAGATTGCCTCAAATTGTCCTCATGATTCAAGTAAAACTCTACATTATGTGATCAGGAGATAGAGTAAGTGAGTATGTTTCTTATAAGCAATTCAATCGGGGAAAATAACAGTTAGCAACAAATATTCCGAACTCCACGGTTTTATAAAAAATGGAAAGTCAACAAAAACTGACGTAATGTAACATCCGTTGATAAACGTTAGACGAAATTGTGTAGCTTTTATGATCTTTATACTGCCAAGACCAGTAGAGACTAACGTTTTAGAGGATCAACCAATGTTGCTTCTATGGACCTTTTTGTAGTGGTAAAATATTAATTCTTCCTGTTTGAAGTTCTGGTTATCATTTAGCATGTGCTACAATACACATATCAGCAATTACTCTGTGGTTGTGATCAAAACGCCGAGTATTTCGGAATCCGCTTACTGAGGTAGTGCTCATAGATAACTCACATCATCTGACCGCTCAAACATGCGTGGTATTTCAAATTGTTTTACTATTCAATCAAAAATAGGTTTTGTTGCATTCTTTTCACGACATAGTATAGTTTCCCAGATGTTTATCGTCTGGTAAAGGTTTGACATCAGTTGAAGTAAATCATTTAACGTAGGCGTCGAAAATTAAGAAAATCATTCTATAACACGTGCTTTGCAATACGGATGGTGTCTACGTACAAAGCATACACTTCACTTGTAAATAGTTTTTTACAAGCATTTGCGAAATAGTTTTCTAATGGACAGTGGTGCCTCTGTCATCGTGTTTCTGACTAAACCTAACATGGTTGGATATCATTAAGTTTGGACACGTCTAAATGTTTAAACTTTTGAATGTACCAGTTCATATGTAGTTGATATATTTGTACAGTATATTGTATTAGTTAATAATGATATTTCTGTTTGTCTTCTTCTTTAAAATATTTCACCAAGTGTACAATTTTTGAATGGTTTAAACTACATACACAATTTTCATTTTCCTATTTGAATCAAACAAGATTTTCACCCTTCACAATGCATTGCCATATTCAAAGTGAAATGTATATTACACAAAACAAGATTCCATTACTTGCATGCATGTATTATTAATATCTGTTTTGTTAAGGACATGACTAGTATTTTGTTTAATGATCTATATAGAGCTGATATGCAAGTTCTACAGTATACTGACACCAACTAAACTTTGCTTCCATACCATCCGTTTCATCTTCAATAAATCATAATTTTACACAAACAAAACAGATAGAAGCTCTGTCACATAGTAATTAAAGTATAAGTTTTAAAGTGACAAATCAGAAGAAGCGACAATAAACCTGGAGTAGATTAAGTTTAGATGAATGACAATCTATTTAATAAAATAATAGAATCGAGTTTTGTTGTAATACTGAATTAGTATTTCTACTTAATAAAAACTGATTTTAAACTTTTAAATCGATGTGATACACTTGTTCAATTTAAAAAAAAATCGATGGAATTATAATTGTTTTTCGTGACATCCATTATTTTTGTTTGACTGTTGGTAATTTACATTATATACATTTATTGTAGATAAATCAAATGTTACGCCTGTATTTGAATGCAATGTTAACATTCTAAGTAGTCTAAATTGTCTTTTTTTTTTTTCTTTTACTAGGAATAATTCGCAATCTATAATTCGTATGTATTTGAAACTGTTGTCGACAATTGCAA